GGTCAGGGAAAAAGAGGAAGACCCCCAGCAAGACGGACTGACCCAGTGGTCATAGCACTGGATTCCAGCATAGCACGGGCGATGCCTCTGAAGAACCTCGCAGGGTTTCAAAATCTGTTCCAAGGGTTGCTGTGAGTTGGAACCCACTGGGAGGCACCTAATAATAACAACATCCATCCCTTTGACCCTCCCCAAATAGTGACCTTGCCTGGTCCTCAGCTGATTACAGGACCCTCCACCTCTGCCTCTCTGCACCTTTGCCCTGCGGGGATGGGGACCTTGGGGCTGAAGCCTGGGAGACTGCCTTGGAAGACCTCCTTCAGTCTTGGGAGGTCTTTCATCTCCTCTGGGGTGCATGCCCAGGAGTAGCCCAAAGGGGGCCGGCTCCCCGGCTCCTCTGGGGACCTCTTGGTTATTCTGGCTCCTGCTTTCTTCCTTTCCTTGTCTTTCTCTCACTTCTAATGGGCCCATCCCTCAGCAAATCCTGCCAGCTCTGTCTTCAAAAACTGTCCAGTTGCCAGCGCTGCCCACACCTTCTGGTCCCAGGCCGTCCTCCTTTACTGGGGGTGGGGGTGTTGCTGCAGTCACCAGAGGCCCCTCCCAGTGTATGAACCCCTGCCCAGGCCCCAACGCCCCCCAAACCAGCCCCCACAACCCCAGTCGCTTGAGCCTCCTTCAGATTTTTGTGGGGTGTTTGTTACCTTCTGCCTCAAGTCTTTGGGTCTTAGCTAGCTAACACTGGCCAGTCCTGAGGGGGGAGAGGTTTTAGGCGGGGAGAAGAGAGGGGATCGTGGTGGTTTTGTAGGATAAGCACTGAACTTCAATCCAAAAAGTTGGCAGTTCGAGTCCGCCGCCGCTCTGTGGGAAAACGACGAGGCTTTTTGCTTCTGCAAAGATTCACCATCTCAGAAACCCTGTAATTCCGAACTGACTCAACCGCACTTAACAAGCCCTCCAGCTCTTGACCCATGTGACCCGTCTCTTCCTTTCTAAGGCACGAACTGCTTTCTGCCCTACCCTGCGATTTCAGTTGTTACAGTTGTAGTCTATTTACTGTGAATCTCCCTGCGCGGGTGGACTTGACACGGCGGTGAGGGGGCGTGTAGAGCTCTAATTGGCTGCTGTGCGCACACAGAGACTCCATCTGAGGTTTCATCGGGGCTTGGTCAGTGAGTTGAGTAAAGCTGCTGGTCCCAAGAGAAGACCGGGAACCGTCCTCCTCCTAGTCTCTGACGCTATCCATGGCTTTGAAAGCAGCTGCGGAAAGCTCCCAGGGTTGGGCTCCCAGCGTGTGGGCGGAGCTTTAAGCGTGGGAGGCGGGGTTCCCGACGTGGGGGGCGGGGCTCCAGGCGGTCGGCTTTTCCTCTCCCATTCGCCCTGTCCGGCGGGCGGGGAGTAGGGCTGTACCAGCCGTCCCAGCGGATGGGGGAGGACAAGCCGGACTAGTCCCTCGCTCAGGGTTTAGGCAAGTTCTTCCTGGGCACGGCCTTCCTTTCGCTGTAATCTAACACTGAATTGTTTTCAAGACAGAAGGGCCGTGTTACATCTCTGGACTCTGGCCGTGAGGAATGGAGCGTCCCTTTTTTTCGCGCCTTTCTCTCACCCTGGTCTCTGGTGCCAGCCAACGGGCGGGGCGGGAGGGGGGCCCCGGAAGCCGGCGTCGTGCACTTCCGGGTCGGGGAGCGCGCGGCAGCGGCGGCGGTGGCAGCGGCCGGGCCTAGTCGTGCCTGTCGTTCGGGCGGCGACGGCGAGTGCCCAGGAACGGCCGGCAGGGTGCGAGCTTCCTGGGTACGTGCGGGGCCGCGTCGGGCCTGGGGTCCCTGCAGCGTCCCGGCCGCCGGGCCGTCTCCGGTCACCTAGCGCTTTGTCTGCGGCCTGCGGCGGCGTGAGGCCTG